ACCAGGGAGACATGGACGAGGAGGTGTGAGTGAGAAACTTCGTGTTTCCGTTGCCCTCACTTTGGGGGCGCCCTAGTAAATAATGCCAGCCTCTCTAGAAGCTAATTCTACACGGCCTCTCCTGCAGCGCCCAGGCATGCAGGAAAGAAGAGTGATGAAATGATTTAGAGCTTACAGTTTGTTGGTGCTGAAACCAGGGCAAAGGAACTGTGGTGTAGTGGTTAGAGCACTGGGGTAGGACCTGGCAGTGGAGTAGTGTGTGGGGGGGGCAGTGGGGCTGTTGCCCTGGGTGCAAAATTGGGGGCTGCAAAATTTCAAAAGAAAAAAAACCATATTGATTTTTTTTAAAAAAAATCAAGCAGTGTAAAATGTTCATGTAACTAATAATTACAATAAAATAAACAGCCTCTGACCCCTCCTGACACCTCCCCAGCTTTCTGACCCCTCCCCAGCTTCCTTCTCCCCACTGGGAGGACCCTTCTCTGCTGCTGCCATCTGGCCCTGACAGTAACCATGGGTTACGGGGCACAACACTTGCCTTGCCCCAGGTACTGGCAACCATTGCTACGCTACTGGGACCTGGGAGAGCAGGGTTCAAATCCCCACTCTGCCAGGATGTTTCCTGGGTGATCCTGGGCCTGTCACCGCCTCTCAGCCTAACCTACCTCATAGAATCGCAGAGTTGGGTCCATGAGCGTCATCTAATCTAACCCCCAGCAATGCAGAAATCTTTCGCCCAACGTGGGGCTCAAACCCACAATTCTGAGGTTGTGAGCCTCATGCTCTACCGACTGAGCTGTTGAGGAGCGTAGGCCGCCTTGAGCTCCCTCTCATTTTTACATATGGATGTAAAAATAAGTGTTAAATTAAAAATAATAATAATACCTGCCCATCATAGAAAGTCACCTCACACCAAGTGAGACCGCTGGTCCCTCTTGGCCAGTATTGGCTCTTGAGACTTTGAGGCAGGGTGCCTTCCCCAGAGATGCCAGGGGGTCAAACCTGAAACTCCCCCCCCCCGCATGCAGAGCAGATGCTCCGCTCACTGAGCCACACAGCCCTTCGCTTTCATCCAGGGATTCCAGTGACGAAGAGGCCATGGCTCTGTGGACCAAAGCAGTGCAGGCGCTCAGCGGGTCACCGGACAAGGAACGCCAGAAGCAGCGGCGACTGCTGAGGGCACGGATCGAGCGGGCCGTGAAAGGGCGCGGGGGCTGCCGCCGCTTACCCCCCGAACTGGCCAAGAAGATCCTGGAGCAGCTGAAGGAGCAGGAAGGGAGCAGCAGCAGCAGCAGCAGCAGCGAAGAAGACGAAGACGACACATCTAGCAGCTCTGAGGAAGACGGCTCCTCAGGGTCGACATCGAGGTGAGGGCAAGGCATCGTGGGAAGGTACCTTATCCAGGAGTCACACCATTGGGGCCACCTAGTTCCATACTGTCTACACCGTGGGTAGGCAAACTAAGGCCCAGAGGCCGGATCCGGCCCAATCGCCTTCTAAATCCGGCCCGTGGACGGTCCAGGAATCAGCATGCTTTTACATGAGTAGAATGAGTCCTTTTATTTAAAATGCATCTCTGGGTTATTTGTGGGGCATAGGAATTTGTTCATTTTTTTCCCCTTCAAAATATAGTCCGGCCCACCACAAGGTCTGAGGGACGGTGGACCAGCCCATGGCTGAAAAAGGTTGCTGACCCCTGGACTAGATCATGGGTAGGCAAACTAAGGCCCAGGGGCCGGATCCAGCCCAATCGCCTTCTAAATCCGTCCTGTGGATGGTCCAGGAATCAGTGTGTTTTTACATGAGTAGAATGTGTGCTTTTATTTAAAATGCGTTTCTGAATTATTTGTGGGGCATAGGAATTCGTTCATTTTCTCTCTCTTCAAAATACAGTCCGGCCCCCCACAAGGTCTGAGGGACAGTGGACTGGCCCCCTGCTGAAAAGTCTGCTGACTCCTGGTCTACACTGACTGGCAGCAGTTCTCTTGCAGCCCACTGGGGGGCTGGCACCTGGGAGCTCCCATGAGCTGGAGCTCTGAGGCCCTGTCCCTAGAAATAAAACGAAGATCCCAGTCCTCAGGGTTCGGGGCTGATCAAAACAGTAACACAGGAAGCTGCCTTGTGCAGAGCCAGACCGCTGCTTCATCTAGCTCGGGGTATTCTGCTCTGGTCAGACCTCACCTGGAGTACTGTGTCCAGTTCTGGGCACCACAGTTCAAGAAGGACACTGACAAACGAACGTGTTCAGAGGAGGGCAACCAAAATGGTCAAAGGCCTGGAAACGATGCCTTATGAGGAACGGCTAAGGGAGCTGGGCATGTTTAGCCTGGAGAAGAGGAGGTTAAGGGGTGATATGATAGCCATGGTCAAATATATAAAAGGATGTCATATAGAGGAGGGAGAAAGGTTGTTTTCTGCTGCTCCAGAGAAGCGGACACGGAGCAATGGATCCAAACTACAAGAAAGAAGATTCCACCTAAACATTAGGAAGAACTTCCTGACAGTAAGAGCTGTTCGACAGTGGAATTTGCTGCCCAGGAGTGTGGTGGAGTCTCCTCCTTTGGAGGTCTTTAAGCAGAGGCTTGACAACCATATGTCAGGAGTGCTCTGGTGGTGTTTCCTGCTTGGCAGGGGGTTGGACTCGATGGCCCTTGTGGTCTCTTCCAACTCTAAAAGATTCTATGATTCATAGTTCTCTAGTTCTGACTTGCCCCGCACTGGCAAGCAGTGGCTTTTCAGGGGTTCAGATAGGGAGTCGATCCTAGCCTGGCTTGGAGATGCCAGGGAATGAACTTGAGACCTTCTGCACCCAAAGCAGAGCCGCCCTTAAGAACCGCCATTGTTCATCCCAAACACTGTTTTGTGCCTTTAGCAGTTGTGGGACAGGCAGGCAGTCAACCGGCGGCACTGTGGCCCAGCCACGGTGGCGTGCCGAGGCCGCAACTGCGTCTGTTGAATTCCTGCCTGCCGGACAACTCGTAACAGCAGAGAATACACCAGGGATGGGGAACCTCAGCCCTTCCAGGTGTTGTTGGGTGCCATGGGGGAAGTCGTGTGCATAGTTGTAGCAACCTCTGACATCTGCACAACTGGGATGTTCCACCCAATGTGCCTCTGGCTCTGCCCCCCACATGCTCCCCCCCCCAGAAGGTGGTGTGGGAGGCAAACCTTGACCTTACAGAGTTAAAAAACAACAACTCAGCAAGCCTGTGCTTCTCTCTTGTCTTTCGTCTATTTCTTAAAATTATTCTGCAAAGATCGTCTCATTTTTAAGATGTCCCTTTTTGCGAGCAGCTTCCAGCACATCCGGTGAGCGGGAAAAGTGAGGCTATGAAACCACTTAAAATTAAATGAGATCTCCTATATCACCCATCCCTTTCTCCCCGCCTTCCAGCAGCCTCGATTTCGGCTACCAGAAGGAAGTGGAGACCAGCAGCGACGAGGAGCTGGAGGAGGTGAAAAGCGAAAAGAGGTCTGCCCCAAAAAGTAGGGAGCGAGACAGAGAATGAGTCTCTGCCACCTCCCTTAAAGAGAGGAAGTATGTATGGCAATAAATTAGGTATCAGTGCCTTCTCTTTTCAATATACAGCCAGGGCGTGCTGGTCCTTACACAGCCAGAACTGCACCACCCACCCGCAAGCAGGAGGGAAACGGTCCGGGGCTGCAGAGGGGAATCCTGAGGTTTGCCAAAATGTCACACACACACACACACACCCAAGAGGTATTTAGGAAAAGTCTAAGGGACATGGGGGAATACCCTAAGATCAGTTCAGTGAGGACTGAGCATTCTCAGTGGCCGCACAGTGCAGGAATCGCGGCTAAAGAATCCAACAGATGGCTGCCCAGGCTCTGTTTGAAAACGTCCGACAGAGAGTCCACCACATTGGTAGGCAAACTAAGGCCCGGGGGCCGGATCCGGCCCAATCGCCTTCTAAATCCGGCCCACGGACGGTCCAGGAATCAGCGTGTTTTCACATGAGTAGAATGTGTCCTTTTCTTTAAAATGCATCTCTGGGTTATTTGTGGGGCATAGGAATTTGTTCATTTTTCTCCAAAATATAGTCCAGCCCCCCACAAGGTCTGAGGGACAGTGGACTGGCCCCCGCTGAAAAACTTTGCTGACCCCTGGGTCTACCAGCCTCCGAGGTGCTCCATCCCACTGTCAAAAAAGTTCTTCCTAAGATTTAGTCAGAATCTCGTTTCTTGCCATTCAAATCTACTGCTTAGCATCCTCCCCTCTGGATCCTGCGAACCCTGCGGCGTTTTGCTGGAGGTGCTACGTGGATATAATTATTACCCTCTCCCACACCCCCATGTGGAAGCCACAGCCAAAAAACATGGTCACCCCTCAGTAGAGGAAGGAGGAGTTTTGCTCGCAGCATATTTTCCCGTCTAGTGAAGGAATTTGTGTAAGACGTGTGTATACACACAAACACACAGTGGGTCTTTTTTCCCCTGGGGGTACGTAGGGGTATGCATACGCCTAAAAATTTTGTCCATTGTACTTTTGTCCATTTACTGTATTTATTTCCCCTGATTTGAACTATAAAATGGTGATTTACTTGAGTCAAAATGAGAGTACAGTGGTACCTCGGGTTAAGTACTTAATTCGTTCCGGAGGTCCGTTCTTAACCTGAAACTGTTCTTAACCTGAAGCACCACTTTAGCTAATGGGGCCTCCTGCTGCTGCCACGCCGCCAGAGCACGATTTCTGTTCCTGATTCCTGAAGCAAAGTTCTTAACCTGAAGCACCATTTCTAGGTTAGCGGAGTCTGTAACCTGAAGCGAATGTAACCCGAAGCGTATGTAACCCGAGGTACCACTGTAGCCCTAAACATTGTTTTTAAGAAAAAAACCACCACACGCACAATGTGTCAGCCGGTCTAGTGGCACCTCCTGGCACAGGTAATGTAAACCCTCGTGTCGCGCGCAAGCCACCTCGCTCCACCTTTTGTGGGAGAATTTTTGTCCATGAAGGCACAGACACCAACGCAAGCCCAAAATTTCCCCTGCTTTCCTTTTTTATTGTCAAGCAGCCTCAACGGACACCGGGAATACCAGCACATTAATAATAATTTAAAAAAAACAACACCAAATGAAATGGCGGGGAGGTAAACACCCGATCCGTCTTTTCCACATACCCGCCCCCACAGCCATCTAGGAAAATATGCACATTTTTGCTAGCGCTCCCAGAGAAAAGCAATGGGGAGGGTGGTATTTTCATTCATCTCCAGCTGTTCCCCCCCACCCCATCACCAAATCGCTGCTGCAGGAAGAGTCTAAGGGGAGGGGGGCGTCTTCAAGACAGGGAAGACAGGGTGAGGTGTAGCTGAGGTATTGCAGGGTAAGGTGGAACAAGCGGGGGGTTTTTTGCACTTCAAGTAGCTAGAAATTCAAGTTTAAACATACAGGCACTTTTTAAAAAACAAAGTCCGGGAAGACATGGGGCTCTCACCAGAGACCTGCCCTCCCTCTATTCACCCGAGGAGAGGCTCCCCCAAAACACACCTGCGGGGAGGGTGGGGGGAATTGGGACAAGGTTTGGGGGGTGGAAGGGAAAGCAGAGTTTGGGGAGGGGGGAATAATATATTACATCATCTCTTAAATATAGATTAAACTCTGTGCTAATACTCTAGGGACGGACTTTTCCCTGCGCTCCCCAAACGCCGCCTCTCTCCAACCCAACCCACCGGCTGTTTTGCCCCCTCCAGAGAGGTGATGGGGGGCGTGGAAATCTAAGGAATGTGCAAATGGGGGTGAGGGGGAACAAGTTAGACCTGACCCCTAACCACCATTGAGGAGTGTGCCAGTCCGAACCCTCCCGCCCTCAAATCACAGGCAAAAACCCTAGTGCAACAGTGGAGGAGGAAAATTAAAGTGGGGTGGGGGGGTGTCAACACAACGGGGTCATTGCATTTTTGTGCAAAAGTCCACCGGACACCTGTTGCTGTGGAATGAAACTTCTGTGGGGAGGGTTTTTATAGGGGGGGGGTAACCCCAAGTTGATGGTCCGTCCCCCGCCAAGTGCTAAAACCTATCTTCTTGCAAGGAGTTCCGGGTCTTGGTGTGGAAAAGCTATGGGAATGTGGGTCAGAAGACTCGTTTTGGGGGCATCTTCCTACCCCAAATGAACAAGCTGGGGACGACAACGACGAGTTGCTGCTGGGACCAGCCCACTGCACTGTGCAAGGACGCCACCAGGAAGCCTCGAGGGCCGAGCGGGGCTCTCTGTGCAAAAAAGGAGGTGCAGCCAATATAGGGTGCAGGCACCGCCCCTGGGTGGTGTGGAAAAAAACACCCTCTGTTTTCCCTTCCCACCATGCAAAGGTTGTGGGCCTCCCACTCACCCCCTCTCAAAAAGCAGCTGCCAGTCTCAAGGCCCGGATAATATAAAGATCTTTTCTTTCTTCTGCCTCCTCAGAAATAAAATTCTCTGGAAAGCCAGAGGCAGGGATCAAACCCAGGAAACCTGGCACACTCCTCAAAAGCTCCTCAACCTGACATCCTTGCCTTAAGAAAAATAAATAAATCTAGTCATCCCCTCCTAGCCTCCCTAACATGGGGGTCAGAGCACCCCCCAAAAGTGCAGGGTCTGGGGGCCACCAACCACTCCCCCCTTCCCAAAGTTATATAATTCTCTTGTTTTCTTAGGGGGAAAAATTAGGATTCCCTCCCACGCCCCCCCCCAAATAGCACTACCCCTATTTAATTGCTTATTTCATTGATCCTGAGCATATGAACCCTCTCCCGTGCTTTTCTGCCCTCCCACCACCCCAACCCCACCCCAACCCCACCTGCTTTGGTTCATAACTGCCCCGTACCCCTTTGAGGGGTCGCTAAAGGCACCAAATCAGTGCGCCAGGGAGGGGCGGGTCATAGTGCATCTCGTCTCCGTTGCCGCGGCAACAGAAAGGGTGGGGAAATAGTGCATCTCGGCCTGGACCACGGCCTAGTCCCCGGAGTCGCCGTGGCAACGGCCAAAGCAAAGAAGGCCTGAGGCCTAGTCTCGGGGAGGGGGGGCCCTACGCCGTTTCTGCCTCCGCCGCCGGCCCGTCGTCCGTCGCCATTCCCTCCTCGCGGCCTTCCTCCTCCTCGTCCTCCTCTTCTTTGATGTGAGGAGACAGGGCTTGCTGGGCGCGGGCCGGATCCCAGTAGCCGCGGGCGAGCGAGAGGCACTGCTCATCCGTCAGCCCGTTGGCCAAGTCGTGGTCGGCCAAGGGCGTCCCCGCGGCGGGCAAGGAGTTGGGCTCGGGATCGGGCCCACGGCGCCGGCGCCTGGTGCGCACCTCCAGGCAGTTCTGGCCCTTGAGGTGGCGCTGCAGGTGGTCGTCTTTGGCGAAGGCCTTGTGGCATAGGCAGCACTCGTAGGGACGGGCGCCCGTGTGCAGGTGCAGGTGGTTCTTCAGGTCGTAGCTGTGCAGGAAGCGGGCCGTGCAGTGGGGACACGAGTAGGGGCGCTCTCCCGTGTGCTTCCGCATGTGGATCTTGAGCTTGTCATTCCTACGAGGGGGAAAGGGGGGGAGACAGGAGATGTGCGTCAGCAAGAGCTTAGGGAAACCTCTGCCCGCGGCCCCAGCAGCATCTTCTGCTTGTGGGCAACCTCAATTTCAAACAAGAGGGTTGCTAGTCCTTATGAAACGGAGAGGAACCCAGCGGACCACACAGAATTAAGGCTGGGCGATTTATTGTCCGAAACTGGTTTGAGGTCCACATTGTGATACTGTTTCATAATTTTTGACCTGGCAATATATCAGACCCTGTTTTCCAGGGACAGTCCCGGATTTACAAGAAGCCATTTTGGTTTCTGATTTGATTCCGGAACGTCCTGCTTTTCTTTAGGAAGTCCCTATTTTCACTGGAGAAATGTTAAAAGAGGATATGGAGTTATCCAACCTCTGGGCCATGTAAAAGCAGACCTGTATAGTTTAAAAATGTTTAATGTTTTATTATGGTTTCATATATGTCGCCCAGAGTGGTTGGGGCATCATAGTCAGATGGGTGGGGTATAAATAGTAAGTAATAATAATAATAATAATAATAATACATCCCTATTTTCATCAGAGATATGATATATTGCAAATCATGATTTGTGTGTCTGTGCGCTATGCAAAAATCGCAATGCCTGAGCATTGGCCTTGCTAGCAGGGGCTGGTGGCAAATGGGGTACATTGCTCAGTTAGATAAATGCAGAATGGCCTCTAGAGGGAGCTCTAGGAAAGGAGAAGCCTCTTTGAAGTTTGGCTATAGGCAGGCTCCCTTGACTGCTACAGATGGAACAGTCCTCACTGCCTGTCTCTTCTCCTGTCTCTTCGCTGCTGACAGTTCTAGGAGAGGGAGCACCACTTTGTACAGGATTAAAAGGTACTGTTTATTTTAAACTTCTGTCCCCCCTTCTGCACAGCTCAGGGTGGGGGACGACCAAGACAGACATCTGGGATAGCTCAGACAGTACAGCATGAGACTCTTAATCTCAGGGTTGGGGGTTTGAGCCCCATGTTGTGCAAAATCGTTCTAGCACTGTAGGGAATTGGACCAGATATCCCTCGTGGCCTCTTCCAACTCTACAGATTCTATAATTATAATAAAACCAAGCCAGCATGGCTTAAAAAAACACTGGGCTGGATTCAGTAGAAGCTGTGGACCTGAGTCACTTAAACCCAGCAATTTCAATGGGTCTTCTTGGAAGGTGACCAATGGGAGTGATAAGGTTTTGCCTAGGCCCCATCTGCACTAGCCATTTAAAGCACTATGATCCCACTTTAAACAGCTGTGGCTTCCCCCAAAGAATCATGGGAAGTGTAGTTTGCTAGGAGTGCTGAGAGTTCTTAGAATCATAGAACTGCAGAGTTGGAAGGGACCACGAAGGTCGCATCTAGTCCAACCCCCCAAAATGCAGGAGTCTTTTGCCCACTGTGAGATTAAGAGTCTCATGCTATACCAACGGAGCTGTTAGGAGACACACACCCGTTCCTCCCCCTGAGTGCTTTAATAACCAATCCCCTTTTCCCGGGAAATTTGGGATGTCTGGATGAAGAGACGCAGGTTGTGCGCATATTAAAAAAACCCTCGGATGTACCCTCCCGAACAAAGATCCAGAGGCGCATCCATTAACTCCACCCGCTCAATGCCTCTCGCTGTATCTACCCCTGGGCATGCCAGCCCCCAGAAGGTTCCCTGCAAAGCAATGGGGCCTTCGGACAAAAGAGCCCCCTTCCCCTCTGATCTAGAACCTTTTCCTCCTCCTTTGCAAGGAGCTGTGTTTTCAACAACACGGCCAACAGCAAAAGAAGGAAGTTGTGGTATTTTCACCCCCCCTACACTCCCATGTGGTACAGTCTGTTCTCTCGCACCTGCCCCATCCTGCTGCTGGCATCAAGCCAGGCCGCAGCGGGCAGAGCGAGCCAGTTTCGAAAGAAAGGGGGGAAAGGCTCACCTCGTGAAGCGGACCCCGCAGACCTCGCAGGCGAAGGGCTTCTCCCCGGTGTGGGTGCGCATGTGGCGAGGCAGCTTGCCTGCGCCGTGGATGACCTTGTGGCAGACGGGGCACTCCTGGGGCATCTGCGAGCGCCGCTTGCGCACCAGCTTGTCCGGGGGGTCCAGACCCAGGGACGGCCCTTCCGGGTTGAGGGCCCGCATGTAGGACATGATGTCGTGTTCGGTGGGCTCTTCGTCCGAGCCCAGGTCTTCCGGCGAGAGGCCAGGGGCGTACGGGTACGGGAAGGCGCGAGAGGGCGCCAGCACCTCATCCTCGTGGGGGTGCGCGAGGACTGGCGCCGGAGAGGCCTGACTGGGGGGGCTCGGCCGCTCCTGCGTCCCTGTCGACGAGGGGGATGGCGAGGGCGACAGCTCGGCGAGGTGGTTGTTGAGGCGGGAGCCCTTGGCCTGCAGGAATTTGCGGATCTTCTTGCTGCGGCGGGGGGCCGGGTAGACGGGCGGCTCGGGCAGGTCACCCTCGGCGTTGGGAAGGGTGGCAAAGGCCTCCAGGTAGCGGTGGGCGCGCTCGCGGGCGGCGTCATCGGGGACGGGGGCTTCCAAGCCGTTTCCCTGCAGGATCTCGACGCAGGCCTTGATGACGCAGGGGATCTCAAGGAGGCGGGCGGCTCGCAGCACCTCTGCCAGGCTGCCCGTGCTGATGGTCAGGGTGGCAGTGTAGGCAAAGTCCAGCAGGGCGCCCAGCGCCTCGGCCCCCACGAAATCCAGCTCGCAGACGCCCATGCCGGGCCCCGCGAAGAGCCGCCGGAAGTAGCGGCTGGAGGCCGCCAGCACGGCCCGGTGGGTCCGGTACTCCGATCCCTGGGCCCGCAAGGTCACGTCGCAGAGAACCCCCCTCCGGCGCTGCTCGTTGAGGCTGCCCAGCAGGTCGCTGCTGTGTTCTGGGAAAGGGATCCCAATCAAGTCGTCTTCAGGGCTTCCCATTGCCTCACCTGCAAGAACAGGGGGAGAGAGCAGGGATGTTAGCACCAGCCAATACAGGCAGCATTTAGGTTTTGTATTTAAAAGCCATTCAAAGCAAGGTGTTTGGGGACGGACAATCATTTATTTTGAGAAGAGAAGTTTTGATCAATTAATCCCCCAAGTTACAATCAATTCCTTAAACTCGCAGTCTTTTACTAAGGCTAACAGAGGGTTGCGTTACTCCTGTTTATATGCTGCTCTGCTCCATCCCATTATTTCCCTTGTTAATTTCGGAAAGTTTATTCTAATAGCCCTTAGCAGATCTTTCTTTGCGTCCTCGCATTGCCCACTGAACCAGCCTCGCTGATTTCCCTGTGTGCAGTTAGTGGCATTGGGCTTGGTTAAACAGGGTCTGGAGAGTGTGCTAATTTGTAGAAAATCCGAAACTGGGTCTGTTGAGGTGTTTATGAGGCGATGTTGCAGGTTCCTCATTAAATCACTCGCCAAGATTGATTGTATTTCGTCATTCAACATCAGAGACTATTTCACTCTTGATCTGCCCAAAGATTCACCAACTGCACACATTGTCTCTGTAGGAAACTGACAATTCAGGAAAGGAGCTAAAGAAACTAAAAGCGGGAAATGATCGCTTTCAGTTCTTACCATTTATACATTTCTTGCACTTAAACCCCACCATTCCCCCCCCCAGGTGGTGTACATGGTTCTCCTCCTCAAACTGATCCCCAATATAACCCAGTGAGATAGATTAGGGTGAACAGCAGTGGCTGGGCCTGGGTCACCCACAGTGAGCTTTGTGGCCAAGAGGGAGGGCTGCGACATGGCTGCACCTCCAAGATGGAGGCGAGGTTTGAAGAAAGGCCTTCTTAGTGCAGGACTCACCTTTCCCGCCTGCCTCCCCTCCAAGCCTAAATCAAAAAGGGGTTGTGTTTTGCTCGCTTTCCTCTTCCCTCCCCATGCCTTTTCCTTGTGTGCCATGTCTTTCAGAGTGCAAGCATTGCAGTTGTCGTTTTCTTAACTGATCTTACGTAAGCTGCTCTTAGAACCTTTATCACAAAATCACGGAATAGCAGAAGGGATCTCCAGGGTCATCTAGACCAACCCCCTGAAATGCAGGAATTTTTTGGCCCGATACGGGACTCGAACCCACCACCCTAAGATTAAGAGTCTTACGTTCTCTACTGAATGGGGGGGGGGGAGACAGAGAAGACAACGTAGAAGCTTCAATTAAATAAAGCAATAAAACCCAGGCCTCCTTCAGGGAAGATGGCAGACGTACGTGAAGAAACTCAGAAAAGAACAGACACACACGGAAAGGAAGTGTGCAGGCTCCGAGAGAGCACAACACTGACTTCTTCTGAGAGCGGGAGGAAGTCCCTCGCCCCCAGACGGTGCAAAGGAGATCAGGGGCCTGATAGAGACAGGGTTAGAGGCAGATTCCTAGGAAAGATAGGGCAGTTCCCTCCTGCCGCCCACGACCCATGGCATTTGAGAGCCTCAAACCCTCCACTCTCGGGGCGCCCGAAGAGAGAGAGAGAAGACCCAGAGCGAAAGCTGCAGGGGGAAGGAGGGGGAGAGGGCTCAGGCGGCCCTTAAGGCCTCTGTGTCTGGCCCCCGGAACTCTCTCCCTAGGCCACGCCCCTCACGGACCCTGCCTTCACACCCTTGCTGGCTGGGATGCAACCTTGGACTGCCATCATGTCTCGGGCTGCCCTGGATTTAGGAGAGAGAGAGAGAGAGAGGAATGTGGTGGGTGGAAAGCAGCCCATACCCTCCAACAATCTGAAGGCAAAATCCAGGACGCCATCTTCCCAGACGTACTGTCTTCCCGTTTTTTGACCTGGAAACTACAACTAATCCAGAATGTGGCAGCTAGACTGGTGACCGGGAGCGGCCGCCGAGACCATATAACACCGGTCCTGAAAGATCTGCATTGGCTCCCAGTATGTTTCCGAGCACAATTCAAAGTGTTGGTGCTGACCTTTCAAGCCCTAAACAGCCTCGGCCCAGTATACCTGAAGGAGCGTCTCCACCTCCATCATTCTGCCCGGACACTGAGGTCCAGCTCCGAGGGCCTTCAGGCGGTTCCCTCGCTGCGAGAAGCCAAGTTACAGGGAACCAGGCAGAGGGCCTTCTTGGTAGTGGCGCCCGCCCTGTGGAACGCCCTCCCACCAGATGTCAAAGAGAAAAACAACTACCAGACTTTTATAAGACATCTGAAGGCAGCCCTGTTTAGGAAAGCTTTTGATGTTTAATAGGTTATTGTATTTTAGTGTTTTGTTGGAAGCCGCCCAGAGTGGCTGGGGAAACCCAGCCACGTGGGTGGGGTATAAATGATAAATAATAATAATAATAATAATAATAATAATTATTATTATTATTATTATTATTATTATTTATCGAGAGAGCATGGCCGTCATTTTGGTTGCCGTGCCCTCGCACAATTTTGTGCTGCGCTGTCCCTCCACAAAACAGCGCTTTTTCTCCAGGCAAATCACGTCTGTTGCTCCACCCAGTTTTGCCTCTGGCCCCGCCCACCGCTGGCATGTGCCCCCCCCCACGAAGGGAATGTGGCCCTTAGCATAGCCTCTTCAGCCAAGCCATTCCCTAGAGACCGGCTTGCTGGCCTCCAGAGGTTGTGAATGACAGCTGCCAACCTCTGGAGGGCATTGGCTGCCCTAGATGTTCCTAACAAGGCTGCGTGGCGCTTCCCAGGTAGAAATTCTGATTGCATGTTGTATGTGCTTAGGAACACTGCCGTTTCTATGCGCCAGAGTACAGATCAGGGGTAGGCCATGCTGGAATCATTTCATATGGGATCCCTGATAGGCTGGGACACGGTCCAGGACAGAAGAGGGGGCCCTGTGGCCCTCCAGAAGTTGCTGGACTACAACTCCCATCATTACCTGAATCTGTGGCCATGCTGACTGGGGGCTGACAGGAGTCTAGAAACTTCCAGTAGAAACTATAAAGATCCTTAGTGCTGTAGGTGAGGTCCCAGGTGCAGTTCCCCAGGAAAGGGGGAACATTTCGATCCAGTTCACATTTTAAGGCAGTGGCGCTGTGGGTTAAACCACAGAGCCTAGGACCTGCCGATCAGAAGGTCGGCGGTTCAAATCCCTGCGACGGGGTGAGCTCCCGTTGCTCGGTCCCTGCTCCTGCCAACCTAGCAGTTCAAAAGCATGTCAAAGTGCAAGTAGATAAATAGGTACCACTCCAGCGGGAAGGTAAACGCCGTTTCCGTGCGCTGCTCTGGTTCGCCAGAAGCGGCTTAGTCATGCTGGCCACATGACCCGGAAGCTGTATGTCGGCTCCCTCAGCCAGTAAAGCGAGATGAGCGCCGCAACCCCAGTGTCGGCCACGACTGGACCTAATGGTCAGGGGTGCCTTTGCCTTTACCTAATTTTTGCACTTTCCGTAATGATGCGAGAACTGAAATGCAGCCCGCCTTCGAAATTTGAACTCCTCTGAATTTTATGATGCAGTTTCTCCAGCATATTCTAGGCTATGGCCTTCTTCAGCTTTGGCTCCTCCTCAAGCTGATGTTGCGACTACAACTCCTGTTGTCCTCAGCCAGCTCAGTCAGTGGTCAAGGATGACGGGAGCTGTAGTCCAACAACTTCTGGGGTATGGGAAAGGATGATGGTGCAAATGCCGTTGAGGGTAAATTGTACTTTTAGTGCATGTATTCATGGAAACGCCCTACCCAAGCATGCATTATATTAGGGGGAAACTCTCCTCTCTGTGCCTCTCTGGCAAACTGCGTACGAAAAATGGGTACAGTAGGAAAAATTCACACTGAACGAATTTTCATTTTTGGGGGAAAACAAAAAAATCAAACAATGGTAGAAATGAGAAACTGAAATGGAAAGGGTTAACTCACCCCCTACCCAATACCAATTAAGAGACGTCAGTTTTTAAGAGAGAGCCAGTGGTGGCGAGAGCGTCAGACTAGGACCCGGGAGGGACCAGAGTTCGAATCCGAACTTGTTGGAACTAGGACCTGGGAGGGACCCGGGTTCGAATTCCACGAAGCTCACTGGGTGCTCTTCAGAGCCAGTCACTGCTTCACAGCCTAAACTGCCTTGTAGGGTTGTTGTGGGAAGTTGGGGGGAGCAACGCGTGCTGCCTTAGGCTGCTTGGATAAAAACGTGCTATACAAAGGAAAGTAAAATAATCCTAAACTCCCTCCGGTACCCTCTAATAATGTTTCCCCTGCTGCATCCTGTTCTCCCACCCTCCTTTCGCCCAGATAACCTGGGTGCCAGCTGGGCAAAGATGGAGGGGTATGGGGGGGGAGAGAGCGAGAGAGACTCGTCGTGGTGCCTCGCCTTGTTCTCGGAAGTCGGAACGGGGCTGCCTTGTGGCCGCTCCCTGCCCGCTTTGGGTGCCAGCCAGCTGGGCTGTGTGTTTGCCTTCGACGGGGCAGGGGTGGGTGGGAAGGGGACGGGCTCCAAGCAGGGGCAGCCGCTCCCCTCTCTGCCAAGCAGGCTCAACCGGCCGGGCAAGGGGATGGGCAGGCGGGCAGGCTGGCTCTGCGGGGAGGAGGAGGAGGAGAGCGGCGGTGGGAAGGCTTGGAGGTTGGGGGGGACGACGGATGGGGACCTGCCAGGCAGGCGTGGTTTTTCTTCCTGGAGGAGCACTCTGACCCAGCAGCTGGGCGCGGTCCGCGTCATGGCAACGCCCAGGGGGATGCCAGCTCAGCCAGAACTTTGCCACCCCCTGCCTGGCATGGAGGAGCAAGGGGGGAGAGAGAGAGAGAAAGAACGAACGAACGAACGAAAGAAAGAAAGAGAAAGAGAGAGAGAGAGAGGCTGGCTTTGCTTGCCTTCCCTCAGGGAGGGGCGCAATGGGGCAAAATGCCCAGGACAGGCCTTGCTCCGTCTCCTCTCCGCGGTCTCTCCAAGTCCCAGCTAGCAGCCGCCCTGGCCCTCCCAGCGCCCCACTCCTTTCCCACACTGCACGCTCGGCCCTCTCCCCGCCCCCCCCAGCCCAAACCTCGTGCTCCCAT